TATATCAAGTTTGTTCACAGGTGAGTTCTAGAAAGGGAAACAATATTCATTCTTCTCTTGTGTGTGCTCATGTGGGCTTTCTTTGTGTTGGGTAGCTGAATATCGCTTCTAAATGATGATCTCATGATGATCTTACGCCCAGTATAAATATGGATTTATTTTAATTAACTTTCTAGGGGTGTCCTTTCTGGAATCACACTGGTTTGCTTGAAAAACATTAAAGGAGAATTGAGAGACTCAGAAATAACAATGTAGGAGGTTAGCTGAGTGACTTTCTTTCCTCTTATGAAAAAAGTTTAGGAAGTGAGGGCCACTGAAAGAATCATGTTACTTCAGCCATCAGAGTAAACTCCTGTCTCCATTGAAATCAATGATAAAACTCTTACTGCCTCCTTCACAGCCTGAATTTAATTTTCAGGAGCATATCCTAGAAGTGTGTATGCCCTTCACTCTGCAGAGAGCTCAACTGCACCCCAAATGCACTGCCATCTAGAAGTGAAGTTTGGAAACAAAATCTTATTACTCGATAAAATTTGGTTATGTTACAGATTCATTTATAGGGCTAAAGTGAACCAAGGATGACAGCCCTTTTTAAACCTTGAATAAGACTGTAAAGACACCAAGCATCCAGGGCTGCAAAACATGGAGCATGTCTAGCAGGTTGAGAGGCCCTCTACTCTCTTCTCCTGAGACCTCACCTGCAGTCCTGCATCCAGCTCTGGGGCCCTCTGCACAGGAAAGATCTGCTAGAGTGAGTTCAGATGAGGGTCATGAAAATGATCAGAGGGATGGAGTACTTTGATGGCAGGCTGAGAGAGCTGGGGTTGTTCAGCCTGGAGAAGAGAAGGTTCCAGGAAGACCTTATTGCAGCCTTGCAGTACTTAAAGGGGGCTTTTAAGACAGACTTTTTAGCAGGGCCTGTAATGACAGGACAATGGTTTTAAACTGGAAGAGGGTAGCTTTATATTGGACTCAAGGAAGAAATTCTTTACTGTGAGGGGGGGAAAGCACTGGAATAGACTGCCCAGAGAAGTTGTGGATGTCCCTTCCCAAGGCCAGGTTGGACAGGGTTTTGAGCAACCTCGTCTTGTGGAAGATGTCCATGTCCATGGCAGGTAGTTGGACTAGATGATCTTTAAAGACCCTTTCAACCCAAACCATTCTATGATTTTATGATACATGTAATAGAAGAAAAGCACAATACCTAATTTAAAGTCTTCTGTAAAGCATTAAGTTCAGATGGATTGTGATTTATTCAAAACATCAGCATAGTATCTACTAAACAATTAGGTCTTGCCTTTTAAAGCAGTAATTTGTCACTTAATTTCTCAAAAGAGATGTAAAGATCAGAACACTCCAATGCAAGGGTAAACAAATCACTTTCATGAAGAGCATATGAATTTACCTAAACAATGATTGCACTAAAACAACAAAATTAAATAAATAACTTTATCTCTGTCCTATGCACTACATAATATATTATACTAGAGATGCAATGATTTTTAAGGTTGTTAATTACAATCTTTTAAATAAACAACACGCTCTTTCTTTGTCCTCTGTTGCAGGGCTGAACTCTGCTTTCAAACATGCTTCACTGCAGCCTCTGGCACCAGAAGACTTACTGCTGCCCTGGGATGCCCAGGCTTCCTGTGATGATGGGGTGCCTTCTGCACACCCCCAGGGGAGGACACCCACACTGCTTGGTCAAGCAGCTGCCACCACACTTGTTGCACAAATGTACAGTTGCTCTTGACTGCACTTTAAGCTACACTTTTCACTGACATAAGCTCAAAGGTAGATCAGAGATATAAGAGGCTCTTATCTCCTCTACCCACTCATTATGCAGGTTCTTTCAGTACTCAGCAAAAAAGTTTTGTGAGAAACCACTGCTTTTAGACAACTACCCTTTTATGTCTCGAGTGCATGCGCCATTGTTCCAAAAGCTTTACCAGTACTGATTAAATAGGATGGTATAGCCCCCATCCACTGGTCAGATTATGTGACTAATACATCTGTTCTAGAACAAGCAGCAGTCACAAGCATTGAGGCCATGTTGCTGAGAACACAGCTGCGTTGGGCAGGGCATGTCTCAAGGATGAAGGACCACCGCCTCCCTAAGATCCTGCTTTATGGTGAACTTGCCACCGGCTGCCGCAAGAGAGGAGCTCCGAAGAGGAGATACAAGGACTCCCTGAAACAACATCTCAGCCTTGGCCATATTGATCATCATAACTGGTCTACTCTGGTCTCCAACCCGGAGGTCTGGAGACACACCATCTATAACGCTGCTGATGCTTTTGAGAACGCACGCAGGATCACTCTCAAGGAAAAAAGGCAACACAGAAAGAACCGTGCCTTGCAGAATTTACCACCTAAGGAGTCTTTCAGCTGTGCCTTTTGCAATCGGACATGCCTATCTCGTATTGGCCTTTTTAGCCACCAGCGTGCTTGTGATAAACGTGGGTAGAGACCTTTCCCAAATCTTCGTTAGTGAAGCCCAGCCATGATGATAGCCCCCAGAAAAGGGGGTTGTTTTCAGTTTAGTGGCATGATGGTATCTTCCCGCTGGACATCATTAACAGAATGAGGAATAATAATAAGTATCTGATAAGCATACAAGTGCCCAAAGGAAAGTTTGGGAAGCTACTACGATATTCACAATAAAGGGGCAGTAGATACCTTACTCAATTTTATCAGCAAAGTTTGAACTTCCATACCTATTATTTAAATTGCACAGAAGTAGCAGTATCCAAAGCAAAGTCAGATGTTTTTTAAGATCAGTGACAGTGCATGGGTGAAAAAACACAAACTGCAGAATCAGTAGTAAGCATGTATCCAGCTGAACTGTTATTTCCAGCATCAGTGTCTCTGGACAAGCCTGACTTATTAAAGAAGGCTGAGTAAAACTGTTCTGTTAAAGAGTGACATCTGATTCAGATCACATTAAAACTAATAAAAGTTTTGCTCTTGAACTCTGTGGAAGGAGAACTGAATCTACTAACCCCAAACTCTTTGACTCAACCCTGAAAAAGAATCTATTTAGTTTTGTCAGATCCTTCGAATTTTTATATTACATTCTCTTGTATTTGCATTTTTTTCTTTTTTTCTCATATTATTTTTCTAACTGCAGACCATCTGAACAAACACATGACATCATATGAGGGAAGAATGTTACCCCATGTTTTCCCAGAGACATAAGGGTGTTTTCTGCGATGCCTTATAAGCTTTGCCCTGGCAGGATACAATAGGCTACTGCTCTTACTGGGTCAAAGCAGAATTCGCAGTCCATAAGTAGACATAAGTGATATTGCCTTAAGCCCTTCTGAAAAACAAATTTGGAATGCAACTGTCAACCTAGAGAATAGTCTCCACAGCACAAAATAAACTCAACTGCAGAAATATAGGCAGATGCGAGTAAATTCAGTAGACTCCCTTTCTTCCATGTATGTGTGAGGACCACAGCTTAGCTGCGCAGAGGGACATCCACTGTATAAATGTCAGTCTCTTAGACTTGACACTTCCTCCACAATCTGCAGTCTCAGATGACTAGTTCATATGGAGCAAGTTACTTCTGTCTGAACAAGCAGTGAGTCATCAAAGGGCTTCTGCTAGGAAGCACTATGTAAAGGAACACACATGAAGGGGGACATGACCTTGCCTGCACCCAAGGTTGAGTTTAGGCCTACTGAGGTTCAAAACTGTACATCTCAAACAATATGAAAGCACATATATAAGTAAGGATGCACTCTATTAGCTTACCTAATCTCAAAACTTTTGCATTCCACAGAGAGTCCCCAAAGGTGACCTTGAATCCTGTCCTTCAGTTGCTATGAAGAGTTGGTTTTCATGTGCCCTGTAAACTTGGTTTCTCCAAGATACCCCCAGATGACCATCAAAAAAACGAGGCTCTTATTAATTGTGGCTGATCTAAATCTTGATCTAAATAACCGTATTTTTTTAAAAATTGAGGGAGATTGAAAAAGTTTTAACTATAACTAAGAAAAAATCTCCAGACTCCATTTGCAAGCAGTTATTCTTCTAGGTGATTTATCTCATAAAGAAAACAAGTATTAGGGATATTAAGTGCTGGAAGTCAATCCCAAAGCAGGGAGGTTCTTACCAACCTCACAAGGTACAGACTTCCAGGTCCATCCCATATATTAAAGTGCTAATAATTTCCCATGGATCTTCAGTATGGAGCTTAAAGGGACATTAAAAGGAGTCATGCGCTGGCAGCTACACTCATCAAGCCTATACTTCACAAAGCAAAACAACGCTTTGTGGCCTTTTGTGTTAGTGGCCCAAAAGGTGTCATAACAGTTTACTGGATCAGCAATTTTCAAGGCTCATGAAAATGTGACCTTACAAGACTGGTGGTGATGGGTAATCAAACCAGGCTTTTTAAATTGTTACTGGGTGTATGCAAGATGTAGGCCCTCAAGAGGAAGAGACACTGGTGATTTCCACTGTGATAATATTGCAAAGTACATTGTGCATGTGGCTCCATATACAGTATCGGCCTCTCCCTAGCAGGCCAGTTAACACTCATGTTGTAGACGTCTGAAGTAACAACAGGACAATGCTTGACGCCAGCCAGGATCCAGCTTAGGACCTGCTCAGGATCCACCTCAAGGAGCATTAACCTGCACCCTGTGTCACCCACACTGGCTCTCAGCGGCTGCAGGGCAGCAGACACCTCCCTGCAGGTCAGTGCCCCGGAGGGTGGCTGGGGACCCCCTGCCCACCGCTCGCCTGCCCGGCAAGGCGAGAGGCAGCAACTACCCCCGTCAGGGAGCGGCCACCACGTCGACACCGCTCCCCTGCCCGCCAAGGCGAGGGGCAGAGGCCGCGTCCTGGGCACAGGTGGCTCTCAGGCAGTGGCTGCTGCGCCCTGCCGCCGTCCCCCCCTGCCCAGGCGAGGGCTGGCAGACACCTCTCAGCACCAATGGTCCCGCTCAGCAGCCACTGGGGCACGGCCCTGCCCGTCCTTCCGCCCTTACCGGCAAAGTTCTTGGTGAAGACGAGGGTGACGAGGAGGATGGGGATGAGGACGGTCCCGATGGTGACCACGCGGTCGAAGGGCAGCTCCAGCTTCAGCTGGAGGAGCAGAGCCGCCAGTGCACCCGCCTTGTCATCCTGCTGTCCGCCGGCAGAAATGAGCCCTCACGTCTCGCCTGCCAGCAGCGCGTGCCATGTGCGGGGTGTTATCGATGAT